CTTTCTCTTGCTGCTTTTAGGATTCTCTCTTTGTCTTTTGCTCTTGGCATTTTAATTATGATGTGTCTTGGTGTGGTCCTCTTTGGATTCCTTTTGTTTGGGGTTCTCTGCGCTTCCTGGACTTGTAAGTCTATTTCTTTGACCAGGTAGGGGAAGTTTTCTGTCATTATTTCTTCAAATAGTTTTTCAGTATCTTGCTTTCTCTCTTCTTCTGGCACCCCTATAATTCTGATGTTGGTACGCGTGAAGCTGTCCCAGAGGCTCCTTACACTATCTTCGTATTTTTGGATTCTTTTTTCATTTTGCTTTTCCGGTTGGGTGTTTTTTGTTTTTCGTATTTCAAATCTTTGACTTGATTCTTACGATCCTCTGGTCTGCTGTTGGGAGTCTGTATAATGTTCTTTATTTCAGTCAGTGTATGCTTAATTTCTAGTTGGTCCTTTATCATAACATCGAGGGTCTCATTAGATTTCTTGAGGATCTCACTACATTTATCGGTGGTCTCACCAGTCTTCTTGAAGATCTCACTACATTTATCGGCGGTCTCACCAGTCTTTTCGAGGGCCTTATTAAGTTTATCGGCGGCTTCTAGACAGTTCTTTAAAGACCTTAAAAGAGTGGTTTTGAACTCTATATCCAGCAGTTTGCTTTCCTCCCATTCTGTCGTTTGTGTCCTGTTTCTTTGTCTCGGCATTTTTTATGCTTCGCTGTGTCGATAGAGTTCCTTTCTGTGCTAAGTGTCTCAATTACCTGAGGTAGACACTCTTGGTGCACCCCCTTGTGGGCTTTGTGCACAGTTTTGCTGTAATTAAGCCTTGATTGTTGTAGTTATCACTGTGAGGAATTGACCTCCAGGCCAATTGGCTGTGAGAATCAGCTGTGTCTGCAGTGGGAGAACTTCTGTGCTGGAGACACCCCTCTGGGGCTAGACTTGCTTCAATGGGGCTTTGGTGCTCACTGAGTCTTCCCCCTGAGTGTGTCTTTTATGGTTCCACAGAGCTGCAAACTGGATGGTCCCACTCTGACCTCTGGGCTTCCTGGCTCCTGGATCTCTAGGGAGGTGCTAATCTAGCCTTTGCCTGAGGCTATCCAGCAAAAGTCTCCCTGCAGGGCTTGGGCGGGGCGGGTCCCACGGGATCAACAGGGCGGGGTTAGCAATTATGGCTGCTCTCAGTCTTGCCCTCAGAGGCTCTGCTTCTCAGTCTCCCAGTAATTGCTGCAAGCCCCACGGAGAGAAAGCTGCCCTAGGGTTCTGAGCAATGCCAGACAGTCCCGCTTCTCCCGTATGAGTCTGGGTCCCTAGAGACTCGCCCGGAGCTGGAGCTCAGAGTCTGAGACTCCCTCCCGATTGAAAACAACAACCACGCCCTCAGCCACCAGCCCGGTCCACATGCACCTCCACACCTTAGTATTTTACTTCAGCACTACGCCTCCTCTGAGTCTCGGTATGTTTTACTCTTTCCTCCTAGTTGTAGAACTTCCACTCAGCCAGCCTTCCTGTGGTTCTGGATGATGTCCGTTCCGTCTTTTAGTTGTATTTTTGAAGTGGTTGTTCGAGGCAGCAAACTCCGGTGTTTACCTATGCCGCCATCTTGGTTTCTCTCTCTCTTGGCCTTTCTTATCCTATTCAGGCTCTGACCTGGATTGCCCTCTTATATCTCCTTCTCACCCCTCCTGCACATGGACCCTTTTTACCTACCTGCTTGTGCTCTGATACCCCATGCTGGGCTGTCCTTCTGAATAGACAACTTTCTCACCCTGCTGGTGCTTTGACACTTTATGCTGGGCCACCCTTACACACTTGGGCTATGAGTTACCACACTCTGGCTCTGATTCTCTTTTACACAGATGCCCTCTTCATCCTGCCTCCATGACTATTTAGTTTTTTAAAATAACTCTTTTCCTTTTATTTTTTAAACTTTATATTTTAAAGTAATTATACGCTCAGAGGAAGGACAAAATAGTATAGAAAGTTACTTCATTTACCCATTTTTTTTCTCATTGGTGACATCTTTACATGACTATAGATAATTTCAAAACCAGAAAATTGATATTTTATCTATTCATCAGTTGGTGGATATTTAAGTTATTTCTATCTTTTGGCTGTTATGAATACTGCTACTGTGAACATACTCATGAGTATATGTAGTTCTCTCCCCTTTATTACATGTAGATTTGTCACCACTGAGATCTCTCTTGTATTACTCCTTTATAGTCACACTAGAGGTTTGGTGCATGAAATTCGTGCACTGGGGGTGGGGGTGGGGGGGACGATTGTCTTTCAGCCCAGCCTGCACCCTCTCCAATCTCGGACATCCCTCTCACAGTCCGGGACCGCTGGCTCTCAACCACTTGCCTGCCTGCTTGCCTGCCTGATTGCCCCTAACCACCTCTGCCTGCCAGCCTGATCGCCCCCTACCTGCTCCCCTGCCTGCCTGATTGCCCCCAACTGCTCTCCTCTGCCGGTCCGATGGCCCCCAACTGCCCTCCCCTGCCGGCCTGGTCGCCCCCAACTGCCCTCCCCTACCAGCCTGATCTCGTCCCCAACTGTCCTCCCCTGCCGACCTGGTCACCCCCAACTGCCCTCCCCTGCCAGCCTGGTTGCCCCCAACTGCCCTCCCCTGCCAGCCGGTTGCCCCCAACTGCCCTCCCCTGCCTGCCTGATCGCCCACAACTGCCCTCCCTGCTGTCCATCTTGTGGTGGCCATCTTGTGATGATGTATGGGCGTTGTGTGAGGGCCACCTAGGCTTTTATTAGTAAAGATACACCACTTTTTCCTCACTATCCCATATTTTAAGACTTAAAAAATTAAAAGCATTATTACAAGTCACAGGAAGAGCTGAGTAAGCATAGAGATAGATCATGTTAATGTTCATGAATGGGAAGAATTAATATCATTCCCAGTCTTGAATGAGAAGCAGGCTAGGAATTCTACTTTCTGAATGGTAATTTTATTGGCACTCTGTTCCGTCCTGCTCCATTGCTGAATATAGGGGCCATTTGGGGCATTCCCCTCCCCCCACCCCCCTAGTTCCTGGCTTTGTGCAGAGATCCTAGTCTGGCTACCTCCAATGCAAAAACTTCTAAAAGTTTGCAGCCAATAATTCCCATCCTCCCTGCTAGTTTTCAAATCCCCGGCCTGAAGGTTGCTGTCTGGACTGTCACCTTTCAGTTCTCACTCACTACTGTGGCTTGGTTTCTTCCTGGTTTATGGCAACTGTATATTTCCTTTTCTAGCTTTTGAAGTTGAGTGTATAAACTTAAAAAAATAATCTATTTTGTCTGTATTCACAGTGGAAAGGAATGCTTTCCACCACTAGTTCATTACACTCCTTTCTTTTATATATATTTTTATTGATTTCAGAGAGGAAGGGAGAGGGAGAGAAACATAAATAATGAGAGAATTATTGATCGGCTGCCTCCTGCATGCCCCCTACTGGGGATCGAGCCCGGAAGCCGGGACCTTTCAGTCCGTAGACAGACACTCTACCCACTGAGCTAAACCGGCTAGGGATCTTTTCTTTTGAAAAATTTCAAGCCTATAGAAAAAAATGAATAAATAGTACAACGAAGACTTGTATAGCCTTTACCTCACCCGAGTATATGTTTTGTGTGTGTGTCTGTGTTTTAAGAGAGAGAGAGAGAGAGAGGAAGGGAGAGAGAGAAAGAGAGAAAAACATCAGTGTGAGAGAGAAATTTCAGTTGGTTTTCTCCTGTACCCACTTTCTGGGGATTAAACCTGCAACCTAGGTATGTGCCCTGACTGGGGATTGAGCCCGAAACCTTTTGGTGTATAGGACGATGCTCTAACCAACTGAGTTACCTGGCCAGAGCAGTTTTCTCACTTCCCCTTCTCACCCCCATACTCACACTCTAATACTTTTTTTCTCTCTCAATCATTCAAAAGTTAATTGCAGATAGTACAACATATCTTTCTTAAATACTTAAGCAGGCATTTCCTAAGAGTAAGGGCATTCTCTTACAAAATCAAAATATAGTTATCACATTCAAGAAAATGATTGTTAATTCACTATACCTAATGTATGGTTCAAATTCTCCTGCTTGTCCCATAAATGTTATGTTTTGCTTTGTTTATGAATATGTGCATGTTTTATTGAGGATCCAGTCAGTGATCTCTTTAGTCTCTTAATTTAGAATGATCTTGTTTTCTATAACACTGAATTTTTTGAAGAGTTTAGGACAGTTATGGAATAGATTCTAGATTTCTCTAATTGTTTCTTCCTGGTTCAATTTAAGTTAAACATTTTTGGCAACAATACTTGTAGGTGAAGTTTTAAACTTCTCATTGCATCACATCAGGAGGTGCATAATGTCTACTTCTTAAATCATTCATGATATTTGATAATTTGGTTAAGGTAGTGATTACCATATCTTTTCACGGTAAACATGCATTTTCTTCTGTGTAATGAATAAGTCATCTGTGGAATGATACTTTGAGACACTGTGAATAATTTCTTCCCTAATAATCATTTACTGAAAGGTTTTAACATCTATTTTTGATGCTTGCCTGAATTAATTATAATTGGAGTTGAATACAACTTATTGGCTAGCTGGTATAGACTGTTCACTTATTCATTTCAGAGGTACGTATTGCAAAGGTACTACATTAATCTCTGTGCTAATCATTTGGTGAGCACAGTCAAGTGTTTGCCTTCGTGGTATCTATAGTCTTGTGGGAAAGATTGACATTAATAAAATAGTCACATCAAGGTGTATTTATAGATTGTTATAAATATTATAAAGGAAAAAATGGAGTGCTGTGAGAGATTATAAAGGGAGATCACCTTTTCTAGGGGTTCAGGGAAGACTGCCCTGTGAAAGTAAGCTAAGCTGAAAGATTTAGAATTATTTAGGTAAGGAGGGATGTGTTGGAGGCAGTTGAGTAAAAAGTCCCAAAGAGGGACCTTTTGTATCAATTGTTTTGTCTATAAATTATATTTTAACATTTGAAAATGTAATACAAATTTGATCTCTCTAGATTTAAACAAGTCTCTTAAGCGGTGTTTCCTCACCGATGGAGAATTACTTTCAAGCAGAAGCTTACAACCTGGACAAGGTTTTAGACGAATTTGAACAAAACGAAGGTGAGAATTTACTTTGGCAAAGGTGTTTGAATATATTTATGATATAGAGAATATGGGGGTTATAAGAGGATGAAGTGCCGGAGTCCAACCCCAGCAGGTCCAGGGGTCCCCAAAGGTGTGGATGGAGTCGGCGAAGAAGGAATGACACGGAGACGGAGTTCAGTTGATCAGCAGCCTAGCCAGGATCTCTAGCCAGGATCTCCAGCCAAGTTCTGGTCTGGATCTCCAGAGAGGTTCTGCTTAGGATCTCCAGCCAGGTTCTGTCCAAGTTCTCCAGCCAGGTTCTGTATCCATGTTGTCTTGCTAGGTTCTCCAGTCAGGTTCTCCAGCCAGGTTCTGTGTCCATGTTCTCTTGCTAGGTTCTCCAGGCAGGTTCAGTAGCCAGGTTCTAGTCAGGTTCTCTTGCCAATTTCTGTAGTCAGGTTCAGTCCAGGATCTTTTGCCATGTTCTCTCCAGCGAAGTTCTTCTGTCTCTAGAGAACGTTCTGTGCCTAGGTTCTGTCTCTCTTGGTTCTCTCTTCTAAGTTCTGTGTTCTAAGTTCTGTATTCTAAGTTCTGACTCTGGCAGGAGATCCTAAGCAGAACCTCCCTGGAGATCCAGACCAGAACTTGGCTGGAGATCCTGGCTGGAGAACCTGGACAGAACCTGGCTGGAGAACCTAGCGAGGGAACATGGCTACAGAACCTGGCTGGAGAACCTGGAGAACCTAGCAAGAGAACATGGACACAGAACCTGGCTGGAGATCCAAACCAGAACTTCGCTGGAGATCCAGACCAGAACTTGGCTGGAGATCCTGGCTGGAGATCCTGGCTAGGCCGCTGATGAACTGAATGCTGCCTCCATGTCATTCCTTCTTCACCGACTCCATCCACACCTATGGGGAACCCCTGGACCTGCTGGGGCAGGACCCCGGCAATGAAGTACTTTTTAAATAAGTAAAATCAAGTCCAATGATTTAATAATGTTATATATTAACTAGAGGTCTGGTGCATGAGATTCATGCACAGGGGGTGGGGGGGTCCCTCAGCCCGGCCTGCACCCTCTCCAATCCGGGACCCCTTGGGGGATGTCTGACTGCCAGTTTAGGCCCAATCCCTGCGGACATCCCTCTTGTAATCTGGGACCATTGGCTCCTAACCGCTCACCTGCCTGCCTTCCTGATTGCCCCTAACCACTCTGCCTGCCTGCCTTATCTCCCCTGACCGCTCTGCCTGCCTGCCTGATGCCCCTAACCACTCTCCCCTGCTGGCCTGTTGCCCTCTAACCACTCTGCCTGCCCGCTTGATGCCCCTAACTGCTCTCCCCTGCCAGCCTGGTTGCCTCTAACTGCTCTCCCCTGCCAGCCTGGTTGCCCCTAACTGCCTCTGCCTCGGCCCCCGCCTCCATGGCTTTTGTCCGGAAGATGCCCAGTCTATCTAGTCTAATTAGCCTATTACCCTTTTATTAGTATAGCTAGCCAGGGTAATAACTAACATTTTTAATCACTGTGTCAAGATATTATGCTAAAACATTTACATGGATTTTATAATTATATCTTTAAAATAATCCCATGAAAGTAGATCTTATTTACATTTTATAGATGAGAATAGAGGCACAGAGAAGTTCAGCAACTGTATAGATTAGAATCCAGGCTGTATGATACTAAAGCCTGAACTCTCCTCTACTATATACAGCCATCTATGGTCAAAAAAAGCTTTAAAATGTGTGATTGCATTTCCTAAACTAAGAAAAATTGCTTTTTAAATATCAATTGACCAATAAAGTCAAGATATATTTCAAGCCTAATTTTAAAAGATTAAGCAACTGTCAACATGGTTAATTAAATTATGCTTTTTTAAGGCTCAGTCTAAAAATGTCTACTTAAGATTCACTAGGAGCCCTGCCAGTGTGGCTCAGTGGTAGAGTGTTGACCTGCACATGCCTGGGTTGTAGGCTCCATCCCCAGTGTGGGGCGTGCAAGAGGCAGCCGATCGATAATTCTCTCTCATTGATGTTTCTGTCTCTCTCCTCTCCCTTCCTTGATGAAATCTATCTATCTATCTATCTATCTATCTATCTATCTATCTATCTATCTATATATATATATTTTACTAGGGAAATGTTTTCCTTAAATTCCCCTCTCAGGATGACTTGAATGGATAAGCCATAGTTAAATTTCTTTCACCTTACCCACCTTCCTTGGTGTTCTCTGTTTCTAACAGGAAATGACATATAACAAATTTACGGAGTGATATATTTCCATCTAAAGTCCATAATTTTGGTATGAACTCCAAAACTTTACTCAACCCAGTGATTCAGGTTGTTATTTGATGGTAGTTGGGAAGAAAGATTAGTCTTGATTTTGTTGCTTTGGGTCTATGATAGAGGAAGCCTTAAAGAGAATATGGGATCACTGGGGTAAGAAGGGAAAAGGGAGAGAAATGATACCTGGAATGGCTTGCTCTTCTCATATTTTACTATTGATGACCCAAAGCTAACCCACAATCCTAGGTTCATTCCTGATTCATGTAAATGTGAAACCTAATCATTTGGGATTTTCTTGGATCTAGGTGATCTTTATATATACCAAGGTGGAGGGTGTATTATCCTCTTCGTTTGAATCGTTTATACAAGTGTTTTCTCAGTCCTTTCTTTGATTTGATCCTCTATGTGTTACAGTTATTTGTCATGAGATACTACACAGATGCTATACCTAATCTTGTGAATACTATACTTTTAGAATGCCACTGACTCTAATTAATAAAACTATTACTTCATTACATCACTTTTTGCCACTTCTTGTAGACTCTAGTAGGGTACTTTGTATATAGTTACTTTCTTTCTTTTTTTTTTTTTTATAGTTACTTTCTAATACATTTTTGTTGAATCAATAAAAATTGTTTCTTAGTTTAAAAATAGAGTATTTGCATTTAAAAATAACTCCTTTAGAAAAAAAAAGAACTTCAGAAGCTTTCTTGTTTGCAACTAAATTATTCATTTGTTTTGAACTATCTTTTTTTTTTTTAATCTCAGTGCCAGTTGTGTTAAAACTACAGCCTTTAGCCAGTCTTTCCAAATTTATTTTAAATGATCTCTCATTTTGTGTTAATTTCCTCCTTTTAATGAAAAATATACCACACACAGACTGAGATGACACTAAATAGTTAACATTATGCCCAGGTAGTAGGTAGTTGAAAAATGAAATGAGTACCTGATCATTCCTGTTATTAAATATGCTCGTAAGAAGCAATATTTCTTTTTTTCTTTCCTTGAACTGACTTGAAAACATGACTTCTTTTTTTAAAGGAAGTACATACTACTAAATCTCAAGTCTCTGCTACCCCAGATTTGATAAACTCAGGGTTTAACATTTAGATACTAAGCCATTCTTCCACACTATCTGATGTTTTATGGCCTTTGTAATCTGCTCTTTCTAGTTTTTTTTTCACTACTTTTTTACGTGAATTCTTCTTTCAACCCAAACTGATTTGGTTATTGCTCTCTCAGATGGTTGTGTTGGGGTCTGTACTTTTCCTTGTTCCCTGTTACGAATGTCCTCTTTTCCAGACTTACATAAAATTGTCTTTGAAGCCCAGCCCATTTGCTCCTGCTTCCATGAATTCAAGCTCGCTTTCTCAGCCTGTAAATATCTTTCTCCACTGAATTTGTTTTCTGCTACTACATAATAATTTTTAAATACTTATGCTATCCTGTACTGCTGATTAGATATTCATCTGTATTGTATCTATTTCTTATTTTCCCAACTAGATCATGTACTTCTTGGAGGCCAGAGCTATCATTTAATCTTCATGTTCCTCAAACCCACTGCTTTTACTATGGTAGATACTCACTTAGCATATATTGATTGTGTACTTACTACATACCAGAGACTATGCAAAGTTAGGACTTACATTGGTGGAAAGAAATGGTTTCTGCCTAAAAAAGTCAGGTAAATTAACAATTGCATTCCAGTGTAATAAATGCTTTAATGAAGATATGAAGAAGGTGCTAATGGAGCATGAAAGATTAATGTTACTACTGAGGGGAAATATATCTGCATAATTTTAGGATTATGATTTATCAGATTTAAGCAAGAAGGGTAATAAGTGCATTATTTATTATTTCTCTAATTAAACTTACTCATAGCACTGTAACTTGGGGAAAATAATCATCATAGTTATGATCTAAAAAGTAAACAGGAACATGAAATTATGCTTATTGATAGAATATATGTAGGTTGACTTAATAAGGTAAATGAATATTTTCTGCCAAATGTCCTTGATAATGTAAATATGAACCCAATTAATACATTGTGACATGGTTACAAGCAGAATTTCATATACTCTATCAAACTTTTTAAAAACTTATGGACAAATTTCAAATATATACAAAGTAAATAATAGTATAGTAAACTCTAGTGGGTAACTCCATTACCCACCTTCTACAGTGATTGACTTACTGCCATTTTGGTTTCATTTATATCTTCAACCACTCCTCACTCCCTGCTTCACTGTTTGTTTTTGACATAAAGTTTTTAAGATAAAATTTACACACATTGAAATGTACAGATCTTAATTGTACATTTTTGACAAATAGCTTTATCCCACATAACCCACATTCTACTCATGATGTAATTATAGAACATTATGTCTCCACAGAAAATTCCTTTCTTGTCCTTTCCACTCAATTACTACATCTTCATCACTTTCTGATTTTTTTTTTCACCTTAGATTAGTCCTCACCCCGTGATGTACTTGGTCAATCCAAGGCCTTCTCCATTGCTGGTGGCCCTCTACCCCCCCAAGTATAATTTGGGCCACTTGAATTATGTTAATTAGATTGAGTTAGAATTCTTTTGTTGTTTGGAATGTTCTGGGATATTACCACTCAGTGATATTTAAACAGGGAACAGTTATAAATATATTTTCATATTCTTAGCTAAGAATTAGAAACTTCATATTCTAGGAATATTTTATTTTCAGATTATATTTGAAAATATAGTTGATTAATTTAGTCCTAGCTTTTCCAGTATTACTAGCAAACTTACTGTAATTTTTTTTTTCCAGATGAAACAGTTTCTCCTATTTTATTGGAAACAAAGTGGAATAAGCTTCTAGATCCCTCCTCGCACCGACTGTCATTTAACCCTGTATTGGCCAATGTGAATGAACCTGCAGTTTCTAATGAGTCACAGCCACAATTGAAAGTCTTCTCTCTGGCTTATTCAGCTCCTCTCACCATACAAAGAGAGGACCATTGTGCTAATGGGCAGGACTGTAGTCTGAATCCAGAGGTCAGCACAATGTGGATTGATGAAAATGCCATTGCAGAAGACCAGTTAATTAAGAGGAACTGTAATCAAGATGATCAATGCAGTACTGTTGAAGTGGGAGAGAAGAAATGTGGAAACCTAGCTTGTCTGCCAGATGAGAAGAATGTTCTTGTTGTAGCTGTCATGCATAACTGTGATAAAAGGACATTACAAAGCGATTTGCAGGATTGTAATAATTATAATAATCAATCCCTCATGGATGCTTTAAGCTGTTCACTGGATAATGAAAACAGACAAACTGATCAATTTAGTTTTAATATAAATGGTTCCACTGAAAAAAATATGAACTCAGAGAAACAAATGGATCTAGTGACTAGGCCAAGTGCAGAGGGGGATTCTGTTAAACATATATGTACAACTTCATCTGATAATCTAGCCAGTAGCTGTTCCCCTTCACAATTAAAGGATGACGAAAACATAGGTAGAGACCCCTCCATGTCTGTAATTACAAGTTTAACAGTTGATTCAGTAATCTCATCCCAGGGAACAGATGAAGGTCCTGCTGTTAAAAAACAAGAGAACTATATGCCAGATGAGATTCTCACTGACAAAACCAACTCTCCTAGGACAGATCTAGGGAGTTTAAACTCCTTTTCCCATTTGAGTGAGGGTATTTTGATGAAAAAAGAGCCAGCAGAGGAGATGACAACAGAAAGATCCATCCCATCTGGTTTACCTCTGCTTCTCAAACCAGACATGCATAATGGGTCTGGAAAGGATAACTGTGAACAGTTTTCAGATGGCCTTGTGCCCAGTGAAGTTAGAGCTGATGAAAATGGAGGTCGTGAGCATGAAGAAATTCTTGGCTCTACAGACCTTCTTAATATGACAGAACATTTCTCTGAATCTCAGGAGATGGCTGATTGGAAATTGACTAAACTAAATGAAGTGAATGACAGCCAAGTAAGTAAAGAAAATGAGAAGTTTCTGCAGATGAATCAGCCTGAGGACACTTACAGTGATAGTGGAGGAGAGTGTGATAGAATGGCAGAAGCAGGTCTAAATTTAAAAGGAACTTTCATGAATGAAAGTGAAGGCTGTGATTTCTCCACTGTTACAGATACACCAGCAGCAAATACTTCATCTAATTGTGATTCCTATGGAATGCAGAGCCCAGTTGTTTGTTTTGTTCCAAAGACTTTACCCTCCAAAGAAGATTCAGTAACAGAAGAAAAGGAAATAGAGGAGAGCAAGTCAGAATGCTACTCAAATATTTATGAACAGAGAGGAAATGACATCACGGAAGGGAGTGGACTACTTTTAAACAGTACCGGTGACCTAATGAAGAAAAATTATTTACATAATTTCTCTAGCCAAGTTCCATCAGTGCTTGGGCAATCTTCACCCAAGATAGCAAACCTGCAATCTATCAGTGTTCCTTTTGGTGGTGCAAGACCCAAGCAACCTTCTAACCTTAAACTTCAAATTCCAAAGCCATTATCAGACCATTTACAAAATGACCTTCCTGCAAACAATGGAAATAATATTAAAAACAAAAATGATGTTCTTGGGAAAGCAAAAATAGGGGAAAACTCAGCAACCAATGCATGTAATGCCTCTTTGGGAAACATTTCTATTGCCGAAACAAATGGGGAACATTTAGAAAGTTATGAGTCTGGGATACCTAGTAGACCGGGTCTTGTATTACCTCCAGATAGCCCAGATAATGATCTCAGAGCTGGTCAGTTTGGAATTTCTGCCAGAAAGCCATTTACCACTCTCGGTGAGGTGGCTCCAGTATGGGTACCAGATTCTCAGGCTCCAAATTGCATGAAATGTGAAGCCAGGTTTACTTTCACCAAAAGGAGGCACCATTGCAGAGCATGTGGGAAGGTAAGTTGTAGCAGCTCAGAAATCTAGCATGCTCATTTTGTAATGCTCAATTAGAAATAAATAAAGGGAATATAAGAGGAACATACAGTACTTCTGATTGAGATGAACATTATAAGTAGCTTTTGAACACCCAGTTCTAGTTCTAAGTAAAAAATGACCTCACTGATTATTGGTGTTTATGTAAGGATTTTGTTGCCAAGACAAGCTGAATCAGTTTTCATGAACAGATGAGAATTGAGGAAGTGTTAACTTTGTGGTTTCTTTATTGATAGATACTTGGTTAATGGAATAGTTTGAAATAAGGAAGTTATTCTTTCGATTTAAGAAATGTTTGTGATTTAGTTCATTTTTTAAAAAAATACATTTTTATTGATTTCAGAGAGGAAGGGAGAGGAGAGAGAGAGAGAAACATCAATGAGAGAGAATCATTGATCGCTGCCTCCTGCACGCCCCCTACTGGGAATGAAGCCTGCATCCCTGGCATGTACCCCGACCAGGAATCAAACCTGGTTCATAGGTCAATGCTCAACCAGGAGCCATGCTGACTGGGCTTAGTTAATTTTTTTTAATTCTTGAGAAATTGAATATTATACTTAGAATCCATTGCAGTTTTTGCTGTAGGATTTTTGCTACTGTACTGGACATTCTGGAACTTTATACAAAATACACATAATTTTGTCTTTTCCTCCATATATCTTTGATACAAAAAGAGTTGAATACTACAAATTTTTGTGACAAGATTATAAGAATAGTTGATAATTGTTCTCCCTAAATTCTGTTAGCTAGTAACATATCAACTTACTAGTTTTCTTTTTAAAGAAGAGCTATAAACGAGGAAGAAAGGAATGTGAGGCTTGGTGTCAAGTCTGGATTTGAACTTTAGCTTTGTTAACATTAATAATATAGCCCTCGCTGGTTTGGCTTGGGATGGAGCGTCGACCTGCGGACTGAAGGTCCCAGTTTAGATCCCGGTCAAGGGCACATGCCCGGGTTGCAGGGCCAAGTGCAGGAGGCAGCCAATCGATGATCCTCTCTCATCATTGATGTTTCTATCTCTCCCTCTCCCTTCCTCTCTGAAATCAATAAAGAGATATTTTTAAAAGTATTAATAATGTAACTTTATTATGCCTTAGTTTATATATATTTATTGATTTCAGAGAGGAAGGGAGAGGAAGAGAGAGATAGAAACATCAATGTTGAGAGGAAATCATTGATTGGCTGCCTCCTGCACGTTGGACTGAGATCAGGGCTTTCCTTCTCCCGGCTGCAGGCAGCTGACCCCCACCCCCGCAGCTGCCACTGCTTGCCATCTGTGCAGCGCTGCCCCCTCCCCGCCACCAGTGGCCTCCCTCTGCAGGTGACAGGCGTGGGGTGCAATGGCTTGGCTGGCCTGGGCCTCCCTCTGCGGGGCGATCACTGGCCAGCCACACACCTGGCACAGAGTCACTGCTGGTGGCCTGGGCCTTCCTCTTTCTTTGCTGGGGGGTGGGGCCAGACCTGTGAGGGGCTGTCTGCCTACCTGATCTCCCCTAACCGGTGGCCTGCCTACCTGATTGCTCCTAACCACTCTGCCTGCCTGATCACCCCTAATTGCTTGCTGGGAGGCGGGGCCAGCCCTGCGAGGGGTCGTTTGCCTACCTGCTCGCCTCTAACTGCTGGCCTGCCTACCTGATCACCCCTAACTGCTGGCTTGCCTACCTGATGGCCCCTAACAAGTTGCCTGCCTACTTGATCACCCCTAACTGCTGGTTTGCCTGCCTGATCACCCCTAACCACTCTGCCTGCCTGCCTGATCACCCCTAACCGCTTGCTTGGGGGTGGGGCCAGCCCAGCGAGGGGCCATGGTGGTTCTGGTCTTTGGTTATTCTGGTCATTATGCTTATGGTGGCTGGCCTTTTATTATATAGGATAACAAATATGTATTAAGCATCTAATGTATGTAAGATTGTGGGCGAGGTATTGGAGAGTCAGAGATACATAAGATGAGATATTTATAATCGAGGGCACTGATTTCAGTGACTGGAGAGAGGAGTATGTGGGATGAGTATTGGAATTTAAAAAAAATCCTAAAATAAAAATTGTGCACCACTGATCTGAGTAGACAGACTACCCCACAACAAACTATAATACAGTGTATTAAGAGCCAGTTATGTGTGCTTTATGTTCATTCTCATTTAATTCCCATCACAGCCTTAAAGAATGGGTTAATTTTTTCCTATTAACAGATCAAGAATTGGAGGCTCAGGGAGGTCAAGGAATATGCCCAGGGTCACAGCTTGAAAGTGCTCAAGCCAATTTCAACGCTAATACTTGTCCCTTCAGTCATACTGCTTCCCCCATTGATCATATCTCCTCATTCATACTAGCAGTATGAATAAAATATTTTAGGATCATTGAGGAATGAAAGTTTAGTTTTTCTAAGAATGGCAGCGGGAGTTAGGAATGTCATGATATCAGAAGTGATTAGAGTGCAATATAGGAACGTAGATATCATTTATGGAACAAAGTTCTAAAGTATGTGAGAAAAATGGGATCACATCAGAGCACAGGTGAAGAATTTGCAGTAGGGAAAGGGAAATTCATCTCATAGGAGATTGGGTCAAGATAAAGTATACTTGAATATAGCAGGGATTAATAGAAAATTGTGAGAAATTATATAGCATAGCATAAGGCTTATTTTAGCTCTTGATAAGTAGTATTTATACATTCATTTTGGTATAATGTTATTAAGTAGAATAATTACGTTAGAATTTATGAAAGTTGAAATACTGCAGCTTATTTCTATAATACTAAAATGGGATCACGACATCTGAATTCCATTAATTTCTTCATTGTTAATTGGAAAAGTATGCCACACTCTAAAATGCTCTGCAAATGTGAGTTTTATGATTTCATACATTAATTTAGATAATTGCTCCATATAGCAGTATAATCCCTACTTGTCCTATATATGCTAGACATTAAATAAGAGTACAAAAAACTCCTTCCCCAAAAGGTGCTGAGTTTAAACTATTACCATTATTATATATCCACTAGAGGCCCGGTGCACGAAATTCGTGCACGGGGGGGGGGGCACGGTCCTTCAGCCCTGCTTGCACCCTCTAACAATCTGGGACTGCTGGCTCCTAACTGCTTGCCTGCCAGCCTGCTTGATTGCCCCTAACCACCCTGCTTGCCTGCCTCATCGCCCCTAACCGCCTCTGCCTGCCTGCCTGCCTGCCTGCCTTATCACTGCTAACCACTCGCCTGCCTGACTGGTTGCCCCTAACTGCCTCTGCCTGCCTGCCTCATTGCCCCTCATATTACACTTTTATTATTATAGATATTAATTTCCTTTGGAAATCACTGATTCCAGTAGATTATGGTTATTCATCCTCTGTCAAACTCCATTTATCATGAATATTTTGACTCTTATTTGACACTTGACTTCAAAGGTCTAAGAAAGCCATTGAGTTTCTAGTCATTTGCAAGGCTTTGTCACACTTTATCCATTACTGTCATTGATGTGACTGGTGCCAGCTGGTAAATGACTCTGTTCTATCTACTATTTGATAGAAGTAGACATAAGAATAACCTTTAAAAGTAAAACTTTTTGAACTGATACTTCTAATGTAGTTATTTTGTACTTGTTTGGCATGTTACGAAAGATGAGAATAAAATAATATTTTTGAACACTTCCACTTTATGCTAGACTTATCTAGTCTAACACCACAATTCTCTGAGATACACAAGTGAGAAAAATGCACTTCAGAAAGGTTAATAAGTATCTTGCCTAATTCTGAGTTTATAAATGAGAATGCATGGATTTTAACACAAATCTGTCCTACTCCAAAGCCCCATCTTCTTTTTACAACACTAGATGTAGCAACAAAATTTATCTGTACTTGAGTTGCTTACTAGAAATATGTCATTGTCTTGAGGTGAACATTAGTTTTGGGCAATGGTGAAGGACCATTGGGAATTTGAGTATTTGAATTTTTAAGGAAGACAAAAATATTGAATGATTGGTGCTATCAGGTGATGAGGGAGCCTAGTTAAAAGGTAGCAGGATTTTAGGTTATATTTCACCTATCAAGTCTTGAACTACAAAGTAGGAAAAGAACAATATGGGCACCAAATCACTGAATAAGGAGGGATTTAATGACAACAGTATATACCACTCCAATTTACTATTTTTTCCACTTTGACTTAAAAAGTCAAAATCGCTGAATTTTTGCTGCATGATGGCTTGAGTAGACAGAAGAAAGAAGAGAACTGTAGGAGAGGAGGTATAGAAAAGAGTACTGAAAAGGGCATGAAAAGCTCTGGGCTTCTGTTTCCTTTCTGTAAAAGGAGGGGATTGCATAGGCCTTATCTCTGATTTTCTGCAGCTCTTGAAAAAGCTTGTATGAAATTCTGTGTTTTAAAAAAGAAAGGAAAGAAAAGGAGAACAAAGATTTATGCTAGCACTGATTTATCTCTAAACTCACTGATTAGCTAAGGTCACTTTGTAGGAAGAATATGCCATTAACCATTTTGAAACTGTGCTGAAAGTGTGTTTTCTGGCAGTCATCACAGTTAAACTGGAATGCTGTTTATCAAGGTGCCAATTATGTGGGCAACATTGAGGGTTTTATTTTGCTATTACTGTTTCCTTTTTTATTTATTCCTAATACTATTAATTTCTTCAGTATCCCTTTAGACACACACGATCTTCATTACCTATAGTTAAAAAAATAGCTTGATGACATGCATAATGTCAAAGTGGCCTATTGAAAAATGATCTAGATCAGTGGTCAGCAAACTGCGGCTCGGCAAACTGTGGCTCGTGAGCCACATGCGGCTCTTTGGCCCCTTGAGTGTGGCTCTTCCACAAAATACCGACTTCTGCACATGGGCCACGAAGTTTCAATCGCAGTGTATGTGCGCGCCCACACGTGGTATTTTGTGGAAGAGCCACACTCAAGGGGCCAAAGAGCCGCATGTGGCTCACGAGCCGCAGTTTGCCGACCACGGGACTA